ACTTTTTTCAGGTGCGGCTTATTAAAGAGTTGTATGGAAATCAGATTGTACAATTGTATCATAGTCTTCCTTATCATATGATTGAATTCATGCTGAACGATTTTGATTGGTATGTACTTTCGTTCTTTCTGTCATCGTCTGCTTTGGTCATATTACTTTTTCTCAATATATTGTCTCTTTTGATAAATGCCTAGTTCAAGATATAGTAGCATGGGAGCGCACAGGAAGAAAGATACGATGCGTGTTTGAGATGGGGGACGTTGAAATTTCTACTTCGGTGATTTACTCATGACACATTGACAGTTGACTCTCTAGGGCCTCTGTTTGGAACCTGGAAAGGAAAAAGAGGGAAACTTTGTGAAGTAAAAATTTGGGAGAAAGAAACTTTGGTTAATTTATTTTTCTATGAAGTAAAGATATAATCAATCTAAAAAAAGTAAATTCAAGAAATAAATAAATTGATTTTGCCTGTATATTTTTCATCACAAACATAAAAATTGGGTGTTAGTTTTTGGTTTGGTCAGTTCGGTATGGAGAAATGTAAAAATGAAAACGAAATCGAGTACCTCTAGTCAGTTTCAGTTATTTTCGGTTTGTTCGTGTCATCTTCCGGTAGGTTTTACTGTTTTAGCATGTTTATTTGGATTTTAGTCAGTTCTGACCGGGTTGGTCAATTTTTTATGCATAAACCTCAAACTGTATGATTTGGTCATTCATGTCTGTTTCAGTTTTCTTCAGAGTTGTCGTTTTTTCGGTCCCACTATTATTTTTCAAGTTCCAAACACAGCCTAAATTGTATAAAATGTGGTTTTTGTCCACGTTGCAGCAGGATAACCGTGTGCCTGAGGTACTCTGATCTTTTGTCCACGCTTCCAAGTGGGATCAGTGTTTTGGCATGGCCAAACAAATCTTCAACCAGGAAAGGACACGTGTCAGCTCCAGAACGGCTCACCTATGCAGAGGACGCCCTACGAACCATGAGTCTCCCGGAAGGTATCACTTGCATTATTTCAGCTTTCTTTATTCTTTTGTTATTGACTTGGTCAACGGGGTACCCCTCTCACAGCATTTGCAGAGATTGTTCTGAACCTTCCGGCAGCTCTAGGAGATGGGTTTCCGTCTGAAAGTCTGGCTTAGTTTCAGCCTGGATCAAGAATCACCATGGTCATCATCAGTATAGCAGGACTAACAACAATGGCTTGGACAGTGTTGCGTTTACAAAAAAGCCAATAGTAGTGTAGATAAGTTATTTCGTAACCCCCTCACCATTTTTAAGTGTTTGCCTTTTTACTGAACCATGAATTTCAGGCCTTTTTTTATGTAGAGAATTCCATACAACTTCATTCATTATTGTTGTACAAAATACTCAGTAGATGATGCAAATTTGTTCGGATGTGATGTGCAGTTGTGGGTTTTATTAAACTTAATCTTGTCATTTTCGATTGGGACAATATAAACTTCACATTCACAGATGGAGGAGTGCAGGACTGATCATAACCTCTTCAATTATTTTCCATATAATGAGTATATATGAGAGTATTTACAAATGGGGGAAGTAAGGGATACATATAGATAGACACATGTGCTTGATCCAAATAATTATGAGTTTGGGCTAGAAGGGAGTAGTGTATATGTATATAGTACATAACACTCCCCTCTAAATATACTCTATTACAGAATATGCCTCAAAATCTTACTAGGTAAAATCAGGAGGGGAAAAAAACTAATGAAGGAAAAAGAGTACATAGTTCTTTAGATATGCTAGACTGTTAGAGTGTTTGCCTTATAAAAAATCTTGATGAGGAAAATCCTATGAGATAAAAATGGGAAAAATCTTGGCAAGGGAAAAAATGTAGAACATGTATTTACTCTCATTCATGAATACATCACTCGAGATCCTTGTGTTAATGTAATCCAATTTGGCGCACTAATTTCTTGAAAATTGCCATTAGGAGAGATTTGGTAAATACGTCTGCAAGTTTGCAAGATTGTCACTTGAATGAACTTGTTGAACAATAATCTTGTCCTCTTTCGGGATGTCATGTGTTTACCAAAAGCTTGGTGAAATATGATTCGTCAAGTCTCCTTGATAAATATTTCCTTGAGTTGTTGTTGGATACAAGTTGCATATATCCTAATCGAGCAAAGAGTATGCTCAAGAGTATGCTCATCTTGAAGTGGGTATAGAATCAAGTGCAAACCCCTTTTGAGTTAAGGTGTAAGCTTAGCAGTTGGCGGAGTAGACTTTGATGAAGAACATGCGATTTGACATATCGTGAGGTCGAGGCATGTTACTTATGCCTTGCCAGGCGTCAGCGGTACCTTTTGCTTCTACAAAGATGTGTGATTGCCGAGCCGAGATGAGATTGTCTCAAATTTTGTAAAGATTTTCGAGTTCCTCACTCACAAGTCACAAGTCCCCCACTTTTTTTTTGATCTATATCGAAAAGTAGAGGTAAAAAAGATTCGAGTTTGATGCCTAGGTGTCGAGGAGTCCCCGTTGGCTAGAGTTCTAACATTTGGGTGATTCTCCATGTTTTAAGTTCTTAGTTGAAGCTGAAGCATCTGATATTTGAATAGTTGAATTACAGTTGGAATATAAAGTACTCCCTCCGTCCCTAATAACTTTGCCAAATTTGACCGGCTCGGGGATTAATAAATTAAAATTGTGTGGTTAAGGTTTGTGTAGAGGAGAGAGAATTAACCGGAACTACAAATTCTTTACTTAAATGGTAAAGTGGCAAAGTTAATGGAACATTCAAAAAAATAAAGTTGGCAAAGTTATAATGGACGGAAGGAGTATTTAATAGTTGTCTAATCACTAATATTGACCTTTGAGTATTTAAGTGACTGACTTGATGACTGAGGCTTTTGATTGTCCTGGACATGTGTGCTATTGATGTCACTCAGACAATGATGAGTTTTTGTGAATTTTATTTACTAAAAATAAATTTAAACTAAATGAAAACCTTTATAGGACAAAGGAAGCTAGTACTTATAAATAATCATCTGTATATCTAATATCCTTGTCCATTAGTTTTTTGTTAGAAATAAATTTTACCAATCCCTCTTAAGGGTGGTTATGTGGTGACTTCCAGTGACATTAATTAATTCTTACTCACTAAATATCTATGAGTTGTAAGGATATTTTTATTTGAATCGATTTCAGTCAGACTAAAATAGACCAGACTTAAACAGATAAAATTAGATCAGATAGACTTTCATAGGTATAAAATACACACAAACCAGAATTTACAAGACCAGATCTAATATTTATTCAATTTTGACCTGTCAATTTAGTTTAACTTTATTATTTTTATCCTTTTTATTTTACAATTTTTAGGTATATTCATCTCTTTATAATATTATCTTTTTATAATAACTTATTTTCTATCTTTATTTTCTTTATTTTCCTTTTGGTGATGATATCATGTATCGATTCATGTTAGCCGACCCCAATATCTCTTGGGACTAAGACTTGGATGTTGTTGTAATTTAGTTTAACTTTGACTATAGAGTATATAATATAATGTCATGTTCCTAAAAATTGAACATAAATTACTATGACCAAGTTACTACCATTGTCATTATACATTCACATTTTTATAAACAATAATTATTTTAGTCATAAATATGTAATTGCTTCATTATAATAGTCCGTATCATTGACCAAAAATGTGAGAATAAGTAAGAGATAGCAAAATAGTACTACCAAAAAACAAAACAAGATAGTACTACTTGCGTCTCATTTTATGTGTATTGTTTTGATTTAACATGATTATTAATAAAGTAGTTAAAAAGTGAAGTTGTGATTGCTATTTAAGTATCACAAAATGAAATGTTATGAGGGTGTTTCTATGGTACCTTTGTTGTTTAAGAGTGTACCCTACCTTTACCTTGATGCCCACTAAAAACAATACACATGGATATGTAAAACCTACTCCGTATAATAAATAAAACAATACTACGTAATGACCAAGCAGGCAAGCATCTAATTTAATTCTAATGATTAATTCTTTTTGCATTTGAGACCTGCAAAACTTCTTTGGATTTTACAGTGCCCCAGCGGCGCATCGGTGCTCAATCCAGTCATGAATTTATTAATCGTTTAATCATTACATCTGATTTAGTAAAAAACCAAAACATCTCCATCGATTGATACTCCGTATTTTTCTTTTCTTCAACCAGCATTACTTCCGCTGATGGCTGGTCCTTTTTTCCTTCAAGATGTAGTCATGAATTTGTTACCATTCAAGCAAATATGTTTATTTTTCCAATTCATTAATATTCTAAGAGTATTTTTTTAACAGACTCAACATAGCATAAGCTTTCTGGTTCTTTTCAACAAAAAACTGCAATCCTTGGTTGTCGATGTGCTCTATCCAATTAAGGAAATATGATTCGTAATTCGTGGGTTGGATTTTATTTTTACTTTTAATTGCAATGACTTGTTGAGATGCAATCCGTGGATAGTAACGAAAGGGACGGCAATGCAAATATATTAACACCTAACTTAAATTTAGTGCGTGTCATTATATGAATAACTGCTTAAAACAATGGAATAACTGTGTAAGGTATCGGTAGAATTTAACAAGGTACAGTAGAATTTTCCATGTTATGAAAGGGAAACATGGAATTTATTTTGACATGAGTCAAAATAAATCAGAGCAAAGATTTGATATGCGGATGACTTTCATTCTTGTGTGAGTAAAGGGTCAGTTTGGTCCTCGAAGTTGCAAAAAAGGCGTCAAATAAGTCCTTATATAGAAGATTCTGTCCGGACGTGCCATTTGAGGTGGCTCCCGGTGGAATTTTGTGATAAATTTTTTTGAGCATCTTATTCATTAAGTCTAGTTTACTCATACCAAATTTCAGCTAAAAAATCAATCGGGAAGACATTCAAAACAATTCTTGAAGATAACAGCGCTTTTAACAGCACAGTTATCTTCAAGAATTCATTTGAATGTCTTTCCCATTGAATTTTTATCTGAAATTTGGTATGAGTAAACTAGACTTAATGAATAAGATGCTCAAAACATTTCATCAAAAAATTCGACCGGGAGCCACCTCAAATGGCACGTCCGGATAGAATCTTCTATATAAGGACTTATTTGACCCCCTTTTTGCAACTTCGAGGACCAAACTGACCCTTATCCCATTTTTGTGTCCTTTGGCTATCATATCATCAACCTCCTTCACGAATATTTCCATTGCAAAGGCACGTAAGCTCAGAGTAACCACAATTCCGTTCTTCGATGGGATAAAGAAGCTACCACCTCCGGGGGAGGCTCCGACAAATCCTTTCGCAGGTCCGCCGTAAGCCGGCTTTCCCCACCCGAAGTCAACCTCGCCGAACCCAGCCCGTCTGACGTCAGAAACAAGATAAGTCCCCACCACTGTGAAATGCGGCCGCCCCTTCACCACCATCATCTCCGCCACCGACCTCATGTACTCCTCGTTCACTTCAGATTTGGCCTTCTTCACCAGCTCCACCGCGTACCCCAATGGCTTCTCCACCAGCTTCCCCACGGTGGTCAACGCCACCGGGAACGCAAACGCGTTGCCGTAGTATCCTTCCGGTAAGGGATGATGGCGGAATCTCGAGCGGGCGTTCACAATGCAAAGCACCCGAACCTCTTCTTCCGGGTCGGGTTTGAGGGCGGCGGTGCGGCAGCGCCACAGGCACGCCGTTAGTACATCAAAGGTCGAGCACTGGGGAGGAGACGGCGGAGAGCGGCGACCTCCGTTGGCCCAAAGAAGAAAGAGCGATGGACCATGTCATCTAAGGGCATGATGATCTCTTTGGAATCCGGAACTTGGTCGTACTCGTGGTGGGTGTACGCCGTCGTGGGACGTGGCGGTTTCCGGGCATCCAACAATTCCCTTTGCCAAACAGGGAGCACGGACGGCTCACGGGCGCCACATGCTATTTCGGCGGCGGCGGCCATGAACTGGACAAGACCAGATGCGTCGCTCATGGTGTGGTTTAGTCGGAGTGCAAAGATGTAGCCGCCACATTTCAGGCGGGTGATCTACACAACAAAAAAAATACATGGTTCAAATCAATTATTATTTTTTAAGATTTTATTATGAATTTTAACATTTGATTATGACATAATACCCTTATGGGCATTTCTGGTAGGAATCAATTGTTTAGTCATATTTGGGATGGTAAAAAAATGTAGTGGTCCTATTTGTGCATTTTAGGTTATTTTTAGTCCTATATAGAGCAATTTTAGTGTATAAAAACTTACAAAATTAATTTTAATTAAAAGATATATATACACCAAGATTCAAGAGTTTTATTTGTATTGCACAGATATGCACACCGGGCACATAACGAGTTTCATACTACCTGTGCCCAATTAACATTGGGACGTGAGGGTGGTTATTAACAAAAATGAATTTATGTCATTGATATTAAATTTATAAAGTAAAAATAAAATAATAATGATTTAAAACTAGATAATTTTATCAAATTTGGTATGCGACAATCTTAGTGAAGTAGGACAAGTCAAAAAAGAAAGATGAGACAATCTTAGTGGAACGAGGTATACATGCATGACTTTCGCCAAGAGTCTAGGACCTTAAGGAAAAATGATATTAGCTCAAAAGCTTGTCTGCATTTTGGTACATACGTACGGAGTATATATTACTTCGTATATATAATTTATTTTTCTTGTGTTTTACCGCATGTTTTAATTTTTTATTTGGTTAAAGGTTCAAATAAGCCCTCGAACTGACTTAAAAAGTGCAAATCACTCCTTATGTAGGAGGCTCTGTACGGCCATCGCCATTTAGGACGGTTCCCGGTGGAATTTTTTGATGAAATTTTTTGAGCATCTTCTTCATTACATCTAGTTTACTTATACTAAATTTCAGATAAAAATTCAATCGGGAATAAAGTCAATTGATTTTCTGAAATGTACTCCGTTGTTTAATCTCGCAGTTATCTTCAAAAATTCATTTGAATGTCTCCCCGATTGAATTTGTAGCTGAAATTTGGTATGAGTAAACTATACTTAATGAAGAAGATGCTCAAAAAATTTCATGAAACAATTCTACCGGGAACCGCCCCAAATGGCGGCGGCCGGAAAGAGCCTCCTATATGAGGGGTGATTTGCACTTTTAAGTAAGTTCAAGGACATATTGACCCTTTAACCTTTTTTATTTTAAAGAAATTCGTTTTTTATCTTCTAAAGTGGTACAAAGTAAGAGTACAGTTCTTCCAAACAAAAAAAAAAGTAAAGTGTATAATTAAGCTCCTCCATACATATGTACCTGAATGAGAAGCAAAGGGCAGTTGAGAATATCACTGGAGCCAGGAACATCATAAAGAAGCTCATCCATGCATGGAAATGGAGGTTGTAGGGCATCTCCAAAGTCCGACAGCCTGACGTCAGCATCGCCCTCGATAAACAAGATCCCCTCCCCGGTGCAATCCACCATAAGTTTCCGGCCAACACCCTCCCGGAGCCTCCCGGCAAAGGGGTAGTAAAACACCAGAGCTTTGGCCAGTGCTTCTCGGATCACCTTCACGGGGTCCCTCCCGTTCATGGACGGATGGTGGCCGTAGAATTGTATGATTGGAATCTGAAACCTTAATCCATCCTGGTCGTCAATATCCGATAGAAACTTGAGGTCATTAGGCGTCGGCTCCGCCGGAATAACAAGCTCCGGCGTCCGCCTTCTCACCGTGAAGACCAAAGACTGTGGTGGAGCCATGGTATTAAGAAATGAAATAATACTCCGTAATATTTTGGCTACGAGGACTTGGTATAATACTCGTCGTCTCTTCAATCTCTACTTATATAGTGACGGCCGTACGCACATTAAGGAAAGTTAGAGGTCCAAGTCAAATTTAGAAAATGAGCCTCAAAATCGCAAATTCTATAACAATAAAATTATTTATACATACTCCAAGAGTCCAGACTGTTTTTTTATATGTGAAGTAGTTGTATACTCCTTTGTCTCGAAAATATTTGTCAAATTAACTTTAATTTTCTTAGTTAATGACAACTAATTTTGATCAATGATATTTTTTTAACACAATTAAAACGACAAATCTAGCTTCACCGAGAAATATGTATATTTGTCTAAATATCTAAATGTTTAAAATGTTAAAGACTTTTGTTTTAGCCATCCATTTAATATGTTATTAGAATGTAACACATGTATGACTCATCACAACACATGACATTTTGATATATTTTTTTAACTATATGGGGACAATGCACATAACCTAGAGGATTTCACTCAATAAATCCAGAGTAGATGACAATTTAGTTTGCTCATTTTTTATTTTGGCCTATTAGGAGTAGGGTTGTATACGAACCGAATCGAGTCGAATAGTAGGATTTTGTATTTGTATTTGTTTAATTTTTTCGAATACGAATTCGAATTCAAATATGAAACGAATATTAATTTTGATTTGTATTTGTATTTGTTTAACAATACGAATAGTTAACGAATCTTATACGAATATCGAATAGATTTGAGCATATGTTATATATTAGTCAAATATCACTTAAAATTAAATTTTCTTATATTTTTTTATGTTGCAAATGTACGCTATGATTTAATATGTGCTTTTAGAATTTAAATTCAATGGATCAATGCATTTTTAGATTGTGCATTTTTAAATATAAATCTATTTCAAACTTTTTGAAATAAACACTAACACACACATATTAGAAATTACACTTATAATGTGTGAAATAAGTTGATAATTGTATGTATCAAAGTTAGACGACTCTATTTTTATTCTGCGAATCGAATACATAATTATTTGTATTATACTCCGTATTTGAAAGACATTTGAACCAAAAATCCGATTTGTATTCGTATTTATACTTTCATTTATTACAAATGGATTTAGAATTTGTATGCGTAAATGTATATATGAACTACACTTTAGGGTATTGCTATCTTTTAAAAGTTATTATAGTGTTATTACTATTATTGTTAATATTATTATTAATAATAATATCACTATTATTAATCGAATATATTTGATTAATATTCGAATCGAATACACTGATATTCTTATTTGTATTTGATAACAAATCGAATCAAATTTAATATTCATATTTGTATTTGTATTTGAATTTTCCGAATTCGAATCGTCTTATACGAATTCGAATCGCGAATCGAGCATAAATTATTTGATTCGTTTACAACCCTAATTAGGAGTCACATATTTACAAAATTGAATTGAATATTTTCAATCGGTATTTATTGCTTCTTTTCAAATGCTTTGTATCCGCTTCATTCAAAATTCACATATTCGGTCATTACAAAAATTTAAGGCTAAAGGTTCAAATAGGCCCTTGAACTGACTTAAAGTGTTCAATTAGTCCCTTATATAGGAGGTTCTGCCCGGCCGTCGCTAATTAGGGCGGTTCCCGGTGGAATTTTTTGATGAATTTTTTTGAGCATCTTTTTCATTAAGTCTAGTTTACCCATACCAAATTTCAGCTAAGAATTCAACCGAGAAGGCAGTCAAATAATTTTTTGAAGATAACTGCGAAGTTAAACAACGCAGTACATTTCGGAAAGTCATTTGACTGCCTTCCCGGTTGAATTTTTAGCTGAAATTTGGTATGAGTAAACTAGACTTACTGAAAAAGATGCTCAAAAAATTTCATCAAAACATTCCACCAGGAACTGCCCCAATTAGCGACGGCCGGACAGAACCTCCTATATAAGGGGCTAATTGAACACTTTAAATCAGTCAAAGAGTGATACGTTTGTAATTTCCGTATGTTTATTTACGTTTTTAGTTAGTTTTGATTGTTTAATATCTCGGAAATTACACACTTTCGGTGTAATAGTTTAGTTTGTTAAATTCTTGTAATTTGTTTAGATTAGGTTTATTCTGAGCTTAAACAGGTCCAAGATCAATCAAATGATCAATGGTGAAGGAAGGTGCAAGAGTACAAGACAAAAGAAGGAAAAATCCTGATTTTGGTCTATACTCGGTCGAGTATATACATATACTCGATCGGGTATCTGGTTGACATTTCAAATCGGATCGGATCCGAAAACAAAGGAACATGCAGGAGAAGATCTTCCCACGTTCGAGTGTCCATACCCGATCGGGTATGCTTATATACTCGATCGGGTATGCACATAAAATCTACTCGAGTATTGATCGAGTATTGACCAAATTCTGATTTCTATACATACTCGATCGAGTATGTATACATACTCGATCGAGTACTCGATCCTGCACCTCAAAAAGCCTATAAATACACCTCCTTTCCTTCACTCTTAGACACCAATTCACATATACTTCTTAGCTCAATTTAGACAAGTTCTTTCTTTATATTTTTCATCATGTTTAGTCTCCAAATGAGGAGCTAAACTCTTCCATCTTGGTTTTGCTACTTTGAAGCTTAATGATTTGTAAGTTGTGAGTTATTTTCTTTAATCTTCTTCCTTGAATATTAATTACTTCCTATTCATATTCCATATTAATATATTGAGCATTACTTAAAGTATCAACTAGTCTTGTTCTATATATTGATTATTACTAGAATCAATCGGTTAATACGCTTGTTATTAATTCGGTTCTTTCACGGTAGTAAACTTGGGTTGTTAATGCATGCTTCTCGTGGTTAATAAGCCAAGGGGAATTAATTATATTGATTGAACCAATAAACCGCTTGTGTTGAGGTTATCAATCTCAATCGTTTTCATCTTGATTTTATTGCTACTATCAAGTTAATATACGGCGCTTGTTCTATATTGACTCGGTAGTAAGTTTTATTAATGAACGCCTCTCGTTATTATTAACTACCCTCAATGAACTGGATATACTCCTCGATTGAGTATTCGAGAGGAAGATAGTTAAAGATATAACCGGGATCGACGAACATTTCATTAAGTGGATAAAAGCAAAGCCAAGTCTTCTTCTCATTAATTAAACCACATAACTCGTTCATCTTCGTGTTTAAATATAATTCAAGTTCATTTACTCAATTTAAAACCCCCCCTTGTTACTAGTTTATAAAGAGAAAAGTATTCCTTTCCCTGTGGATACGAACCTTACTACACTATACTACGTATTAGTGTCGTATTGATTATTATTTTGAATGCACACCACGACAAAGTGCACGTCAAATTTGGCGCCGTTGCCGGGGAAAGGCAATTAATTTTTCTTTTTATTTCAATTTAAAAAAAAAAAAAAAAAAGTAGTTGAAGTATAAAGATTTCTACTTTTTCTGAGCTTTGTTTGAGTATATGGTAAGAACCCGATCTATAAACGAAATCATCTACCAAACAACCCCCCAAACGGAACAAGCCTTCGAGAGGTTTAGGAACTTATTTCCGAATACTTCTTCGAAGGAATCATCAAACACTAGTTCTTGTTCTAGCGAGAACGAAGAATCAATAACTATGGCTCTTGAAACAAGAACGTTGAGGGAGCTCACAGCTCCAAACTTGAATCAACAACCACTATGTATTACCTTCCCTACACTCAACGAAGGTAATACATTTGAGCTCAAATCAGGGCTCATTCATCTTTTACCATCCTTTCATGGCTTAAGAGGAGAAGACCCAAATAAACATCTCTCGGAGTTCCATGTCGTTTGCACGAGCATGTGCCCTAATGGAGTCACCGAGGAACAGATAAAATTGAGGGCCTTTCCATTCTCCCTCAAAGATACCGCAAAAGATTGGCTATTCTATCTTCCTTCGGGAAGTATAGATACATGGGCGGCCATGAAGAAAGCTTTCCTCGAAAGGTACTATCCAGCCTCTGTCTCCTCATCTCTAAAAAAGCAAATAAGCAATGTGGAGCAAAAAGATGATGAATCGTTCTATGAATATTGGGAACGATTCAAGAAACTTTGTGCAAGCTGTCCATATCATGGCTATTCGGAGCAAGACCTCATCCTATACTTTTATGATGGTCTTTGCAATGATGATAGACGAATGATTAATGCCGCATGTGGAGGAGGGATCGTTAACAAGACTCCTTCTCAAGCTATGAATCTTATCTCGGAGTTGGCCGAGAATTGTAGATATCACAACGGGCGGTCATCAACAAAAAGAGTCATGGCGGCCGAATCAACATCATCTTTAGAAAGTCAAGTTGCCGGCTTGACTTCTTTGGTAAAGGATTTTCTTTTAAATTCCAAAACCCAAGAAGTCAAGGTCTGCGGCATCTGCACACAACAAGGCCATCCCACCGATGCATGCCCGAGCCTTCAAGAAGAAAACCCCGAGCAGGTCAACGCTTTGGGGTTCCCAAACCAAAAGAGGTATGATTCTTACGGTAACACTTATCATCCCGGGTTTAGAGATCATCCCAATTTGAGATATGGGAATCCGCAAGGAAACCCACCACAAAATAACCCTCCACAAAACCAATTTCCTCCAAAACAACCGTACTCTAAACCCCAGGGCCAAGGCTCAACTATGTCCACCGAAGACATGATCCGAGCACTCACCTCAAATGTCTCAACCATGCAACAAAACATGGTTCAATTCCAACATGAGACAAAATCAAGCATCCAAAACCTTGAGAACCAAATGAGCCAAATCTCAAGTGCGGTGAGTAGGCTTGAAGCCAAGGATTCAACGAAGCTTCCATCTCAAACGGAGCCGAATCCTAGGCAACAAGCCCATGCTGTTACATTGAGGAGTGGCAAGGAATTGGTAATTGCCAAAGAAAAAGCCAAAAGCCACATTGGCGAGGAAGAGGAAGAAGAGCTTGTGGAGAAAGCTCAACCGGAGGAGGAGGA